CTTAAAGTCTAAGGAATTTTTTTGAGTGGCCGCCGAAAGTCTTGAAAAAGTTTCCCGAGCTGCTGCGATTTTTCAAAGTTATCAATCAAAAAATGGCAAAACTTCAGTTTTTCAAATTGCAAGTTGCAACTACTATTTCTGACGCCAGAAATGAGTGTAGAGGGAAATTTTAGGGGCACTTTTATTAACATTTTGTATGCCTATATTGGGTAGTTATTGAGGTATTAGGTAGTTAAAGAGATATGAATTTTTTAATGAACCCTTGCATTTTCAAATTGTTGGAGAACATTATGCTATATTTATCGATGTTTCTTGGTAGATGATTAATGGAGAGGGACTCTTTACACATAAACAGTTAAAGGCGACCTGGCATATTTTAAAAATGTATGCTACATAATACAAGAAGAATCCCCTTAAAGAAATTTTCCGAAATATTACATTTTATGCGGCTGCTGTTAAAAAGAGCATTGCTCACACGGACGCGCGGTCGGAAAATAATAAAACTTTTAAGGATCACTACAAAAAATCCAAGTGATCCCTGACCGTGGCCTAGTTCGGGTCCGGGTCCGGTTTTTACCAACCAAGTCAGGGTCCGGGTCCGGGTCCGGGTTTTACCTACACCCGGGTTTTGGTTCCATCTTTAATAGCGACCCTGTATATAAAAAAGAAGATAAAGCGCTTATTAGTCCTCGCGTAAAATCATTTCTCGGTACTTAGGTACATATTTCATATTCCAATTTACTATCATAAATAAATTTGATGTCAAAGGTGACTGAGAGTGTAGGTTTTGTTTCGTGAAACTCAACTAAAGCAAATTCTGAATCACTGCTCACAGAGGTTAAATATAGAGGGAAAATCTGGAGCAAGAGAGGTAGCCTTGGAAAACGCTAAATACATTTTACATCACATCTACAATATACAAAGATTAATAATCCGAGTAACCCCTGAACTTGAATAATACAATACAAAACTTGATACGTTAAAGAATGGCCATCACAAGTAGATTTAAAAGCGCCTACAATCTTTTCCCATGTGTGAAAAAATACATTCTGAAGTCTCCTACATATACATAAAATGCATTGTTAATTAAGCGGACCTCCTCCAATCCGTAATGTATCTGTAGGTCCTGGATACGGTAACCTTAGACAAAAGTTGTAGTTCGAGATAAATGCCGCTAAGTATCTTTATGTCGTTAATCGCTAAATGAAATGAAAATTAATAACTGAGCTCCTCAGGAATAATAAAATTACACCTGGTCATCCGTAATACAGAAAGCCGTAAAAGAAATGAAATTAATGAAAACCAGTTTAGCTACGGTCCGGACTTACGATCAGGCTCTAGTTCCTTTAAGTTCTTGACTCACTGCTTATTTTGTGGTATTGTTGCCTGCAAAGAGATGGAAAGGAACAAAAAGCGAAACGTCGTAAAACAATAATTGAAGTAAAAACAGTGCCATTTAGAGACAGGAGAGATCTGACTCATGGGCAGATGAAGTAAAACGTAAGCGAAATCAAACCTTTTTGTCTCACTATACTGGTCGCCCCTTTAAGAAGAGATTCCCCAAACAAAATGCACTCCATCTGAATATCTTATTCCTAACGCATTTAATCATTAAGCACACCATCAGTGGCCGCTATACAGCTACGGCAGCGCTGCTTGACGATGCATCAGCAAGTACAAGTAGGTTGGGAGGGGGAGGAGGGGGATGATGATGCAACAATGCGAGGCGAAAGGTCAAATCAGGTATAGATGACTAGTTGGCGCAGTCGTCCTATTTGAATTTCGTGCCCATATTTCACATTTATATGCTTAAAAACGCAATTTCAGGAGATTCCTGAAATAAAGCTCTGAAATTTTAGAGCTTGTGGGGTGAACCTTGGTAGTTACCAGAGACCAGGTGAACGAAAAACCGTCGACAAACCTTTCGTATAAATTAGTTTGAGGTGGTGAGCTTGGTTGGCTGGGCTTACCGAATTCAAGAGAACAAAGCTTGAAAACTGTACCAGACCTTGCGGGCTCGGACGGAAGAATGGACGCCGCAGGGTCGTAGCCAGAGGGAGGCTTTGCCCGCTCTTGAAAATTACTGACATAATGTAGTGCTCATAAATGACATATTTCTTAACAAATTTAACAAAAGAAGAGATAAAAAGTAAACCAAAACCATTAGGTACAACATGGGTATTTCCTAGGGTATTTCCACCGAAACCTACTCACATAGACAGACGGATATGCTACTTTTAAAGTTGATACGATACTGATGTATTATTTCTGGGACATCAGTCATTCGAGTTTGGTCTTTTTTCCAAGAAAATTGAGGTATAAATAAGGATTTAGATCGATTTTTGACAATGAAGTGATGGATACCAAAATTCATTTTTGATAGTTGCCCATCTGGAACCCATAAGCTTTCTGACAGCCACAACCCGAAGTCGATACGAGGACATTTTTGGCCCAAAATATGCGGGTAATCAAAAATACGCATGGGCCACGTCTTGGGCATCGAGCAATGAAGTTTCTCGCATAAATAACGGTTGACATCCTTTGGGTAAAGATATTTTGGTCACCAGAAATACACATTTGGGTATCATTTTTTGATGGTTATCGAGCCATCGAATTTGATCTTTTTCCCAATAAAATTTATGCATAAATAACGCTGTTGACCGATTTAGAGCAACAAAGTTAATTTTTGATATTTTCATACAGCGAAACCCCGAAGTCGCTACAATAATAATGATAATAATAATAATAAATTTTATTTCCTCGTTTTCTTATAAAAATCCAATTACAACACCTCGCACAAAAGGAAACAGGACTGCATTCGGTGCTTATAAGCTCTGTTCTTTCATGCAGCCCGGCATTATAGCTCAGTGGTATAGCGTTGGGGTATAAATCCGGAGGTCGGGTGTTCGAATTTGGTTTGAGGTGAATTTTTCATCTGTGGCAGAGATGGGAATTTTACCGGAGTAGTATAGAACAACATAAGACCTTCTGCGGGGGCACCTCTAAAAAGCAGTATTCGGGTCACTCTGTAATGGGCCTAAAACAAGAGGGACAATAAACAAATAAATAAACCATAGCAGACAAATAAATGGACAATTAAGTTTTACCATGTCAATTCCAATACCATCCGATCCTACTGCTTTGGACGAAATTTGGCTAATAATTTTTGATACATGGACATCTCTAACCGGGTAAAACGTAAACTTATCTTTAACATTAGGGTGAAATGAGTCATAGTTATGCAAAGAAGTATATTTAGTAATAAGATTATTTCCAGGAACTGATCTAACAAAATGTTTATTATAATTTCATCTACATCGTTGAAATGTGGAGGGAGTTCCCTTTTGCACTTCTTGTAAATATCAAGATCATTAATCACAAGGAATAGGGACTGAGCTGTGGCACGGAACGACAGGCGGACGGAAATGTCAAGAAATAAGCGCTGCACTTTCGGGGGTTGCGCTAAAAATGAATTTCTTCAGCGGGTGGTATCCTCGTGGGACACAGCAAGTTATTAATATTTCGCGGACCCGCTCCGTAAGTTTATTTGCCCGCTCTTAGAAGATAATCTGTGGCTACGGCCCTGACGGACGGAGATTGTGGCCATAATAGCGCCTTCTAATATACGAGTTGGAAAATGCGCTCAAAAGAACAGATAAGGAGGTTACCGCCACCTTTATAATCACCTGGTCGCCGATTTATGGAATCTTCAAAAAGTAGAAAAGTTCGTATAGGATTATTTTTTACGTAAAAACGATAGTTATTGAGTTCTTTTGAAATTGGTCCCATTTTTTTGGTCGAAATGTATTGCCAGGCCGAATTTTCGAAAAAAATTGGTATTGCTCATTACGATGAAACAAAGAAATGGGTGAGGGGAGGGGGAGGAAATATGTCTGACACCTGGACTATAGATAAAGAGAAGAAGTGTAAACGCCATACAGCTCGATGATGAAATCTGAAACGCATTTCTTTATTTTTATGGATTAGATATACCAAAATAGCAAAGGTCGTTTCTGTGGGTCTAAGGATCGCTATGCCCCTAACAACTAACTAATAATTTGTTAAAATTGTTCCTTACAATGTTGCTTTGAGTAAACGTTCAATGTTCATTGTGTATTATCACAGATACCTATGTACATCTGTGGTATTATTGAATCTTTAATGATCCATGATTGTTTCCTGACATGCTATTGTATTTTGTGGTGACAAGTTATGGTTCTCTAAGGAAAAACAGGTTGCAATCAAACGCACATTGTGGATACAGTTGCAAACCACATATTCATCATTCTCAAATATTGAGTTGTACACTACGTCTTGGATCTGTACAAATATGAATCATCGAACGGGGCCTAAACGTTAAAATTTAAAGAAGATTGTAATTAATCTCATTTATTTAATGAGTATATGGACCGAATATAATTGATTAAAATAATATTATATATACAAAACCTTTTACCAATATATATTGCTACATGCTGCGTTTGAAATAGAGCGACCGCGGTAGATTAGACAGATGTGCCATTGTGTAAAAACGTTTGATTACGTTCCCCAAAATTAATCCTCAACATTGTATAAGATTTAAATGACATATTCTTAGAAAAATATCCGAGATTTATGATTGTTTGTTGACAGCAAATTTAAATTCCTCACAGCAAAACCACGAACTTAAATTTGTGGTTTGTTAATAAATGAGGCAGCCGCCTCATTTTGTCTTCTTTAATTACCTCGGAATCGCTATAATGGAATTTGCAATTATATTTTATGAAAAGTGTTGTTGTTGTTGCCACAGTTTCAACTGTTAAAGGTAACCGCGAGACTCTTTTATTGCAAACACCATAAATTCGCCACTTATCAACGAATTACCTTTAATTATATCAAATTTTATGATGTACTTACTGGGCGTAAATTATTTTGTAAAATAATCCAAGATTAATAAGTCAGAGAGTTGTGTCATAAATTGTACGATCAAGTGAACTTGACGTATACCATTTATTAATTAAACAATATTGCACATTTAATTATTTACATAGTATTTATTTCGAAATAGTATACGAAGGTACGCTAAACAATGACTGTTTTGCTCAATATACATTTCATCTGACAATCATCACGTTTAAAAGTCACGTCGGCGACTGTTCCAAATTACTCTCCCTAACCCTTTGGTTCGGTATAGCACTAGGGGTTAAAATAGTGTTTCTATCGGGGTTATCACATTCACGGTCAGTCTTATAGAATAAGGAACTCACATTGCTAAACGTGTATTGTACCGGCACGGGGCGGTACGCGCTGGGGAAAAGTGCACTTGGAACGATGGGGTGCGGTTTTATTATTCCCGGCGTTAGTGTCGCGTTCACGTTATTCATGGACATTAAAGCGGCGGCATATTCGAAAAGCGCCGCTTGCTGTACGGCCAACAGTTCCTCGCGATTGAAGTCTTCGGCACGTGCATTTGGCGTGGGTGGAAATAATCCCAGCCAGGGATGCCTAGGTATGCCGCACTCCGAATTTAAAGCCGAGGTCGATTGCGCGGTACACAGCGAAGTCTTTGCGTCAGGCTGCATAAGGCTGTCTATACTAAACGATTTAATTGAACTAGTTTGCGTGATGGTTGGCAGAGGAAGTTGCAGATTAATGGAACATGGTGACGCTGGAGCGGTTGAAACATTTACCGAGGCGCTCGATTCGGGCATTGGAACGCCGCTATAGGAACTATTTTGTAACTTGGTTAGTGTTGCCAATTCTTGCGACACGTTCTTGGGTAACTTAAACCTTTTTCGCCGCCGCAAAAAGCTACCATTTTCGAACATGTCCAATGCCGAAGGATGCAGAGCCCAAAAAGCTCCTTTTCCCGGTCGGTCGGGACGTCGCGGAATCTTGATAAAGCAATCGTTAAATGACAAGTTATGTCGAAGGGAGTTTTGCCATCGCTGCGTGTTTCGCCTGTAGTACGGAAAGCGATCGGTGATGAATCTGTAGATCTCTGAAAGCGGTAGCATCTTTTCCGGTGAGCTCCAGATGGCCATGGCCGTCAGAGAGATGTACGAATATGGCGGCTTTTGGTCTCCGTACGTCTCGCGCGACGGCCGCGGCATATCTGTAATATTATAAGATAAACTATAAATTCGTGACTTCTCATCGCGTGCAAAGAATACCGCGCGAAAGTAACCTGGTATCTGAACAATAAAATTGTCTTGTCTTCTAAATTTACTCTGCAACCTTTAAAAGTGGTTGTTTCCTTTTATTAATATTGAGTGCAGCCCGGTCCTTGAAATACGCTTATCCAGCTGACTCGAATTATTAATAGCGGTAAAATAGGGGGACGTACTAGAGTCATTTATCATGCATCCTTCGAGGGTTAATTGGGGCTTCCATTGTCTGAACATTATTTTTTCTAATTTGTAATTAATAATTGTCTTTTTTTGGTAAGTGCGTCGTGATCGTATTTCGCAAGTGGTTAATAAGAGTATGGTGTAGCTACGTATAATTACTTACCTGTTTGTGAATAACCACTTATCCAATATTTGCTTTAGTAAATTACTGTATAGGGTGCATGTTTATCCATTGCCCACGTCCTTCCAAATCACAATTATATACACTTTATTATTTATAATTACATTTTCACAACAAATTAAACATTCAACGTGGACCAACTACTATCACTACCATTACAGTTGTAAAACTTTTATCTGTGCGGGATAACTACAATTTCAGTTGACACTGTGTGATATAGCAGATTGAAGTTATGGGTATGCGGCCTTCCAGTAGTTATTGTGTTTCCACCCCTAATTTTTCATTGGAAGCCTTAGGACCCCTCTACGAAAGGCGGGGCGACGTTAATTTACTACATGGATTATAGAGAGCGCTCCATTTTGTATTTTATCCTTGTCTATTGGGATGTTGTTTATATCTCTCAACCATGTGTAAACAGTTACAGGTTTTACTTTAGATTTAGTATGGTTGAAAGCATTTCATTATCTGAAAGTAATTGAAAAATTACTTTTAGTATTTTCTTTAAATCACTCTACTTTTAATTATCTTAATGCGTGTCTCCACAGCATCAATTACTCCGATCAGATGAATATGTAAATGAGGCCAGTACTTGAAAACAGAAGCAAATTGGAAATTTTTTCGAATTAGTTGACTTTTCTGTTCTTGCAATAATGTATATACCCAATACAATTATGTTGTACGAGTACACTAATATTAAATGACACTATAACGTACCTACGTTCCTAAATTGACATTATGATTTAAGGTTTAATTTCAGTTTGTCATATGCCTTTATTTCCAGAAAATAGTTTTATTATCCTGCGTAGATTATAGCATTGTTAGGCATGTGCTGGTCTATTGGAATGAGTGGGGTGCCTACAAGCGATTCCTATACCTAAGGGGTGGTTAACAGATTGAAATGATTGAGAGTGTGTTACCCTGGATTGACTTTAGAAAAAAAAATAGCGATGTTTCTAATATTTTTTTTATATATGAATAGATTATTTAATTTTTTATATAATAATAATACTCATAAATTGTACAAAAGTAAGTACTTGTACAAATTGTACAAAAGTAAGTACTTGTCTCCCCCCCCCCCACCCCCACCTTGAAATTTGGTAGTCATATTATAAAGTAATTTTATTTATTTTATTTATTTATTAGATTAACAGCCAACAGCAATTGCCAATAACAAGCTTCATTAAATGTGATCACCTAAAAACAAAAATAACATAATTATAATAGTAACATTCATAATAATAAAAAGGTTTAATAAGGGTAAAATTAATATTATTACTCGCTACGGGGGTAGCATAAGGGCGTCATATAAACCAAAGGTCGAATTTCAATTTTAATTTGTTTATAAAACGTTTTTTATGGGTTGAAAGATATCCAGAAATCCCAAAGCCAAGTTTACGTAGTCCTCCCCCCACTACTCTTTTTGTAGCTGACACTTACCTATGCCACGTAGTACTTCTGGTTATGCGCTCAATTCCGCCACTTGAATTAAAACTAGCGCCATCACGGTTAAGCCATGAAAAATTGTTTAAAAAACGTTTTTTGCACTACATCATACTTCCCAATTAATTAAGAAAAATTAATTCAAAGAATTTTTGTATTTCAAACGAGCATAATGAAGAATCGGGGACAATGATTTTTTAGCGCATTTTATTTTTTGGAAAATGCAATTATTTTTCTTATTTAGTTTTTTTATGCCACGTTTGAGAAATATAAAGAATCCAGTCTACGGAAACCTCAAAAACAGCCCCGATTTTGATGATTTTTTTTACATTTTGTTTTTTTTTAATTTAAAATGAGTAGCTTAGCTTAGGAGGCAAAAGGTATTTATATTATTTAAACAATATGTAGACTTTTTATTTTGGAAATTTTTGTACATAGGAAAAAATTAATACTATTATGCATATGACAAATAATGCATTAAATATGTAAGCTTATTAATTTATTTATACGTTCATAAAAGAATGAGATTTAATTTTGTTTTGAGATTCGAAGGTTTCATCTTCTTCAAAGTGCTTCATAAGCATCCAAAGTGCATTTAGATGTGTTGTATAGGCAGGCTTCAATTGTTCATGTTGCATTTCAGCTATTATTTTTCTTAGTCCTTCGCAATGTTTTAGGTATGATTTCTCCTAGCTCAGCAATAACAGCAATAACTTTTTCTGAAGATATAGTTTTTAATCGAGGAAAAGGTGACCGAAGTTTCCGGAGTTAGAATATTAATTCGGATTCCACCCTGGTCCTTCAAGCCGCATAGCATTAGGCTCTAGTGCTACATTTGGTCCTTCGAGCCTTTCAACGAATTCTGGGCCTGCAACAAGAGCTAGGGCATGATTAGTACAAAAAAATTCTACAAGCTCCGGTGAGTTCGAACGAGACAACATCCCAAATCGAGGGAAGTCAAGGGGCTACGATTTTAATGTCCAATGGGACAGCGAACAGCGATGGGAACAAATGCCAGGTTTCCAAGAAATACCTTCCCTACATAGCCTGGGTCACAAGCGCCCACACGCCCAGTCAACGGCTGCTCCGGTGAGTCCGAACCAGGCAACATCCCATAAGCGAAGACAAGCTAAGGGTAAGGTCCAGAGAGACAGCGGTGGGAACAAATGCACGGCCAACCGCTAACATCATGCCGTCACTAACGGTAACGACGTCTGAAGGGCGAGGATTCCAAGAAATACCCTCCACACCCCCAATTTCGTAAGCAGGCAAATAAGGTTGGATCTGCTTACAAAACTTGTCCAGGACACACGGGCAGAACCAGGGACAGAACTGAATAACGAACACTCCAACAGCTATTGGCAGTATAAACAGGTGGACATTCCCAAAATCTGGGATGTCATCCACGAGAATATAACGGTAAGCAGCGAACTACCCGAGACGTTAGAGGTCTGTCACGAAACTCTAAAGGGTGCAGTTAGCGGTTTGCGAGAAAGAAGCACGAGAGGAAAATAGCTTTTTCAATGTACTTTAGTGTATCTACGAAAGAAGCCGGAAACGGGCTGGATGAGCAAACAAGGGTCGCCAGGGAAAAAAGTGTGCCCATGCAAACCCCCGTGTCGATTACGTACGAGTCAAAAAGCAGGGAAATTGAACAAATCTAAAACTACGAGGAAGCCCTATCGCAAGAAGATGCACAATGTGTGAGCAAACGTATCAAGAACAGTAGGGATAATATACAACACTTATACCGTAATCCTGCAGCTGAAAGAAGAACCTGAAGAACTGTAAAACGCAACAGCCCGCCTTTTACAGAGATGCAGAGCTGGAGCATATGATACCTCGAAATGCGATGTTAAAAAATGAGTGGTGATCGACGCCTCGGTCACTTCCGGTTCATGCACAAGCCAGAACAAGATGATGCTAACTGGCCCTAAACTATAAGAAGATTTGTGTGAAAATGGGCCAATAAAAACCTCCAGGTTAACCGCAAAATCTAAGGTGACCCCGATGAAGATGAAGAAAATTATACCACAGTTGGAGCTCTGTAGACCAGTACTGGTGGCCAAGCTGTTAACAGGAACCAAACAAACTCTCAACCTCAATACACTCCGTCCCTTCTTGGATGCAATGGGACTACTAAGAGCAAGAGGCAGATTAGCGAATGCATCCTCCATGTCTACATCTACACAAGAAACACTCCCCCTAATGATTCCTACAAAAAAGCATTGGCCACAGTAATCGTAAAGTATGCCCATGCCAGATCTATTCATTGCGGGAACCAACTAACATTCCCATTCGTAGGACGAAAATACTGGATACTGCGCGCAAGAAATCTGGTCCGCCGGGAAATCGGAAGCTGCATACGCTCTATGCGATTCAACCACAGCACGGCGCAGCTGTTGGTGGAAAAATACCCCACCAGTACGGGTAAATGTACTACTATGGGACTGGACTACGCAAAACCTAGGGATTTCTGGAAAATCTGGTCAAAGAAGCCATCACCAAAGAGAATGGGAATCAAACTGGAAGCCGAAACATCGAGACCCGTATCACCCCAAAAACGACCTGCGTTCCTGTCGGCGGCCAAAGATGTTTATTTAGGAAGAGTTATTCTCAAGAATAACAAGAAAATACAAACTGATACGGAAATATGTAGACTACTAGGAAGCAAAACGCAAGGTCGACGAATCAGCAGTTCCGGCATACTAACGTAACGTAATTGACGTAGGTTATGGAGGTAGGTAATATCTGTGATATAAATAGCATGTCAACGCCTACAATATAGGTACCTTATCAGTTAACAATCGTCGAACTGTCGGTAACGTACGTAAGATACACGATAATCCCCGACCGAATTTTATCTCGTGTAAGATTTTCAAGGTGAGCATTATGATTTACAACCCTAACGCTACATGCAAATGTATGTACGGTATTCTATCCCTTTTTAGAAATGTCTTGAAAACCGCTAATTGACTTATTTTTCAATTTACTTCCGACTAGAAAGCAGTGCCAGCCTTTCTGCGCATGCCGATAGCATTAGTTTTTTTTTCACAAAATTGTGCCAGGCGAATACCTCACAGAAGTCACAGGAAAGTAGTTGATGTGATTTTAATTTTTGCGCTCCTCATACAATCCCTTTCTAGGTAGTGTCAGAAGAATTGGTGAGAAAACAGTGTCCGATCTTCAGGCCTTCTGAGAAAATGAGTTCTTTTTCACCAAAATGATACCAAGCGAATGGGTAAGTACCTCACAGGAAGGTAATTTCTGGCTGATTTTAATTTCTGCGCTCCTGATACAATTCCTTCTTTTCACCGAAATTGTTCAAGAAAGTAATTGTTTATTTTTAATTTCTGCGCTCCTGATACCATTCCTTTCTAGTGTTAAGAAATATATGAAAAAGTATTCGCCCTTTAGCGCCCCTGATACAATTGGTTATTTTTCACCGAAGTTTTACCAGATAGAGGCGAATATTTACAAGAGAATAATTGCTATTTGATCTTAATTTCTGCGCTCCTCATACAATTAATTTCTAGTGTCAAGAGAATTTGCGAGAAAACTGTGTGCCCCCTCCATGCTTCTGGTGGTATTTTTCACCGAAATTATGGCAAGCAGAGGGTAATATTCATAGGGAAGTAATTGCTATTTGGTTTTAATTTCCGCGCTCATCATAGAATCCCATTCTAGTATCAGAAAAATTTGCGAGAAAACGCCCGATCTTCAGCGCTCTTGAGAAAATTAGTTCTTTTTCTCCGAACTTGTACCA